ACTGTTTTTTGAAGTTTGAACTCTCTGTTGTGTTGAACATAAACATTATAAGTGTGTATTTATGATTTAAGTGATTCCATTACCAGCTCTCGTCATTTGTTCATTATGCTTGTCTTCTCCACCTTGATCCTCGAATATTTTGCTTCTCGGGTAGTTAGGTGTTGGTGCTGAGCCATGTACATGTCCAGTAGATTTCTCTGTGTTATGGCACATAGATTATTCTATTATACTAGTGTTATTGATTTTGGTATGTCTGTTTGTGTGGCATCTCCTAGCTAGTGTTATTTTATTTCTGAGAAAATTCACATCTGGGTGTAGTATTTGTTATGCTATGTCTGTTTATGTGGGCATCACCTAGCTTGAGTTATTTTAGTTCTGAAGAAATTCCATTTCATCTTAGGTGGAGGAACCAGAAGAATGCAGCAGCATAAGCAACGCAAGGAAAGAACAGGAGCATGAAGATTTAAGTCCCCTCTCTGTTCTTGAACCAACCTTTCTAAATGAGAGTTGCTGGTCTTCTGATTGCTGCTCAGGCAGTAGCGATGGTAATTCAACTTATTGAAATTCTATAATTTGTAATTTCTAACTGTACCATTTACCTTTTCCTGAGTCTAAGTCATGCTTAGTCTTTACAGGAAGCAAAGGATATTCATCATCTTCTGAAGTTAAAAACATGCCAAAGAATTTCCTAAGCAATCCACCATCAGTGGATGCTGAGGCCAAGACAACAGATTCAGTGTCTTCTTCATCGATTGATGCATCAGACACCTCAGCATCAATAGATGCGTCGGACATCTCAGATATCACCCAATGTTCAAAGAAATCTAGAAACTCAGAGCTGGAGTACATTGGGGATGTTCTAGGCAATGTCAACCTGACAAAGGGTGGATTGGGGTCATTATTCATCAGTCAAGATGATGTATCGGTGATGGACCCCCACCTCTTTAACAAATTGGAGAGCATGAACTTGTATACACAAGGGAAAAAAAATTTGGACCGGCGAGGGTACAGAAAGCTCCTGTTCGACTGCGTAAGTGAATGCCTGGAGACGAGACGTCTCACATACTTCAGGGCAGGATATGCAGCATGGAGCAAAGGGATGGCAGCGATGAGCAGGGGCATAGAAACTGAAGTCTGCAATGAGATAGGTGGTTGGAGGAGCATGGGCGAATGGGTGGAGGATGAACTTGTCGACAAGGACATGAGCAGTGGGCTGGGCACATGGGTTGATTTTCGGGTGGAGGAGTTCGAGACAGGAGAAGAGTTGGAGAGGGAAATACTGAGCTCACTGGTCGACGAGGTGATCGGCGACGTCTTTGTGAGACGACGGGACGGCAGGAGTGTAAATTTGTAATCTGATCTCGAGTGTTGTTGTTTTTGTTCTGTAATTTTGTTTTGTTAAGTTATATCCATCCCTATTTGATTTGTCGACCAGACTTGATCAAATCAGTTATATATATGTGTTGATTTGAGACTGCATAGTAATCTCAATCAATTCAAATACTGAATGTGCTCCCCTTGGCCGAGATGATTTCAAGGACTGCAAGTTCAAGTGACAATGTTATACTGGGTAATACTAGTGCATTTGAACGTTCTTATACCTGCCAATGTAATGCAAAGGTTATCTCTACAAGCTGAAGCCACCAGTTATTACTAGTAATAAACTGGGAATTGATTTGCGCCTCACAAGTTGCTGGAATGCTCTTGGTGATGGACATAAAACCCCTCAGGTTCAGCATGATGTGTTGATGTGGTCTTCATAAATAAGAAGGTTAGGATCATATTCATGGGCGTGCCGACAGGTCACGCTGTCCTGGCCTAGCATTCTCGCTAGAAGCCAGATGCCAGCATTATTTGTCCAATGCCATCGAGATCCTATCCTATACATTTGATGTGTGATGTTATTTGGTTCTGATCCAGTTCTGCAGTTCCTGTGTTTTAACATTGGTTGATGCAGTTCCTGTATTTTTCTGCAACTGCAATCTGTTAGTTTGTGACATCATGCTATACTGTACTACTCCATCCCTCCTAAAATATAATCATTCTAGCTTTAGTATTAGTTTAAGTAAGTTTATCTAACACGTCAAATAAGTTTAAAATTTTTAGTTGAAACCAAGTATTCACTATCGTAAATATAATTCAGTTGATCTAATAAGGATGTTCACTATCATAAATATATAAGCTTAGGATGGTTTGATTTAGAACAAAACTATACAAGTGATTATATTTTTTAGAGCGATGAAGTAGCTTTTTGCATGTGGGGCGCGATCGAAACACGTGATATATGGTTTCTCCAGCGAAGTTTGATGGCGGCGGCAACGGGATAAAATAGAGGACTCGACTCTGTCACCGTGAAAATGGGCGACCTACAAAACTGAGAGACTGGCCTACATATGGTGTTGGGCTTGTGGAGGGATCGGACTAACTGTTCGGTGTGATTGCACCATACCTTCTCTTAATTTCAAAATATGGGAATTCTACAACTAAGATTTTTTTTTAAAAAAAATACGTACTAGACCGATATATCTTTTCAGTGCGATTGCACTGTACCTTCTCTTAATTTCAAAATATGGGAAATTCTACAACTAAGATTTTTTTTTTGAAAACTATGTACTAGACCGATATATCTTGAGATTGATGAAGTCATCACATGCATACAGCTGTCGACAGTTATGCCATCTGCCATTGAAATATCCGTAAATAGTAGAACATGTGTCAAGTCTATAACTAAGGGCTTGTTCACTTTATAGCCATTTTGAACCATTCCAAAATTTGGCATTTCCAAAATTTTGGCAAAATGACAACATTATCAAATTTTAGTAGCATATATTAAATGTGATATTGTTAAATATATTGTATTATTAAGATAGTTTTGAAATGAGGCACCACATTCGCTGTGGGGGTTAGAAATTCTCATATTAATCGGAGAAAAAGAAAAGCAGAGTCCAAATAGAAATACAATTTAGAAATAACTGAAATTCAGAATTAAAAATAAGTAATATTGAAATAACAGTCCATATAAGAACCCAATATAAGATTAATAGAAATTTAGAATAAAAAATAAAAATCGAAATTAGAAAAAAGAAAGAAAGAAGAGTTAAGTAGAAATACAATTTTAAAATAACTGAAATTCAGATTGAAAAATAAGCAATATTAAAAGAATAGTCCATATAAGAATGCAATACGAGTTTAATTAAAATCCAGAATAAAAAATAAAATCCAAAACTAGAAAAAAAATCAAGTAAGAATACAATTTTGAAACAACTGAAATTGAAAATAAAAAATAAAATAAATTCGAAAACTAGAAAAAAGGAAATAAGAGTTCAACTACAAATACAATTTATAAATAACTAAAATTGATAATAAAAATAAATACTATTGAAAGAAGAGACCGTCTAGAACTCGAGTAATCTTGGATATGGTCTTTTCTCGGTCGATGCATTCCCTTCTAGGGTCGAAGTAAAAACCGCTCCTCACTAGTTTACCGAAATTCAACAAAAACCGATAAAAACCGATGAGTTTCGATCAACGCCGTATAAAAACCGGCTGATACTGACTGGTTTTCATAAACCGAGACCTTGCAGTTTCACGAAATCCGATTGATTTTCGTGAAATTCCATCGGTTTTGTGAACCCCGTTGTACACCTAGGACGGTAGATAGTCTATAACTATTCTTGCACTATTTGAAAATTTGATGTACGGTAAAAGAATAACGGTTTTGAATTTTTTAAAAGAACTGGTTTATGTTTCTTAGGATAGTGAGTCTATATGCAAGATAAGTTCGTTACGATTTTAGGTCATTTTGTAAATCCGAAGACATCATTTACTACTTACTGTAGAACAGTACAACAAGAAAAAAATATCTTCAAAACATAAAAATATTATGGAACCGGAAGGGCGCTACGCATCAGATGTCCTGAGATTTGCATTATATGTTAAAAAATGTTGCAATGTTTCATTGCTCGAAAAAAATGTTTCAACATGAATTGTTTTATGATGTTTCATCTTTCACTGAAGAATGTTTCACCGCTTTAACGAAAATGTTTCAATCAAATGTAACACTCAAGAACGGTAACAACAACAACAAAAACACATTATGTGCAACATCCAATATTGATTTAAAAAACATTTAGAAAAGACATATTGCAACATCGCAAAAACACTGTATGCAACAATGCTCGCTAGCTCGACCTCGTCCGAGCGCCGCCACCGGAGCCTAGGCACAGTGGAGGCGTGCTTCGCCCCTACCTCCCCTCGGGCCGCCGCACCGCCGCGCTTCTCTGCTCCGGCACCGCCACCGCCTCGTCGCTCCGCGTCCGCCCGCTTCTTGTCGTTGCTAGCACACACATGGGGAGATAAGAGAGAAAAATGAATGGTTGGAAATAAAGATTAGATTGACTGCCGGAGAAAGAAGATAGAGAGAGTAGTTAGGTGGGACCCACTAGGTTAGCGTCCGATTTTTTATCATATGCCGGACGTACGAGTTAAAGCATTTTCGGAAGAATACCAGTACTACCGCTCTAGACATGTACTCCCTCCGTTTCAGGTCATAAGATGTTTTAACTTTGGTCAAAGTCAAACCGCTTCAAGTTTGCCCAAGTTTATATAAAAAAATAGTAATATTTTTGACTTGAGATATTATAAAATTATATGTAATTATTAATTAAAAAAACTAATTTAGTAATGTAAATATTATTATATTTATCTATAAACGTAGATAAATTTAAAGCAGTTTGTGTTGGACTATTCTTATAGCTTGAAACGGAGCTGAGTATCTTACCACTGTTGTAAATTTGTTGTGAACCTTGTGATGCCCTCGCTGGACTGTTCCTTGGATCAAAGACGTGGCGGCAGTAGGCACACCGCCCAAGTTGGATTAGTTGGAGCAGTAAATACTATACACCCCATCCAAGGAGGCGTAGCGGCTGACCCACCCCCCCCCCTCCCCCACCATCCCATCACCATTTCACCGCCCCTGCCTTCTCCTCTTCTCTCTCTCTCTCCGTTTATAACCCCTCGCATCGCATCTCCCTCCACCTTCCCAAATCCCAACCCTCGTTCCATTCCATCCCACCCCCCCGCCACTACCATCCAAGGGCGCGCCGAGGCGCCATGGACGACGACATCGACAGCAGCTGCTCCACCCCATTCGCCAGCGCGCCGTCCAGCCCCGGCAGGTCGCCTGCCACCGGCGGCGGCTACTTCTTCAGCGCGCCGGCCAGCCCCATCCACCACCTGCTCCTCTCCTCCTCCTCGGTTGCCTCCGGTGTGGTGTCGGGGGCGGGGTATGGCGGCGTGGGCGATGCGGAGTTCGAGTTCGGCGGCCCCGGCGGGCCCATGATCTCCGCCGACGAGCTCTTCCACAACGGCCAGATCCGGCCGCTCACCCTGCCCCCGCTCCCGGATCTCGACCCCGGCAGCGACGACGACGACGGCGGCGGCGGCGACTTCCGCCCCGGGCCGGTGCGAGGCCGCGAGCTGACGCTGCGGAGCGGGTCCGTGCACCGCCGCACGCGGTCCATGTCGCCGCTCCGCGGCGCGTCCCCGCGGCTCAAGCTGCTCAATGCGCTCGTCCCCGCCCCGGATCTTGGCTCCGAGCCAACTCCATCGCACTCGGCTGGGTCGGAGGAGGCCACGCCACCGGTCACCGCCTCGTCACGCTCGTCCTCCTCCTCCTCGACGTCCTCGTCCTCGTCCTCCTCGTCGTCCGCCCGCGGGTCACGGCGGTGGGTGTTCCTCAAGGACATGCTCCTCCACCGCAGCAAGAGCGAGCCAGGCGGAGCCCACGCGCACGACGCCCCCGCCAAGCCCGAGAAGGCGTGGCAGTTCTCGCCCTCGTGGGCATCATCGAGAGACAGGATCGCCGCAAAGCTCCGCGCGGCGAGGTCACCACTACCACCACAGCCACAATCGGAAGCGTCGTCGGACGCCGGCGGCGGCGAAGAGGCGCAGGCGACGCGGGGGCGCGCGAGGGGCGGCAAGGGCAGGCGGCGCTCGAGCACGGTCGCGGCGGCGCACGAGCGTCTCTACGCGGCGCGGAACCGGGCGCAGGCGGAGGAGATGCGGCGGCGCACGTTCCTCCCCTACCGGCAGGGCCTCCTCGGCTGCCTCGGCTTCAGCTCCCGCGGTTACGGCGCGCTCCACGGCTTCACAAAAACCCTCAACCCCGTCTTCTCCCGGTAAAAACCAAAGGCAAACGCCTCATCGGCCAAAAAAACTCCAAAATAGAGAGCAAATGGGAAGAGCTTAACCAAGTTCTTCGCTGTTGCCCGTTAATTAATTAATATTATTATTTCCTGTGTAAGCGAAGCTTGTACTACTTTGTTTTTTTTTCTTTTCCTTTTTCTGCCTTCGATTTGTGCTTGGGTTTTGTATAGGCAGGCAGCGTGAGAGGGATAACAGGATTCCTCCCTTCGTTCGGAGGCGTTGGTGGTAGTAGTAGTTGTCACAGGTCAGTCACATCAACTGGAAACATCAGCGGTTGGTAAATGTGGCGCGAAGCAGAATGCCTGGTGATTTTTTTCCCCTTCCCCTACCCATTCTTGTGTGCATGGAACTATCATCTCAACCCTGTACTACTCGTAGTAAGTGGAGTATATACACGTTCTACTAAGTGTCATCTTCACATGAGATTCTTGTCACTGCATTGTGTGTGTCAAAGCACACATGAGTATACTAGCAGTATTACGTACACGAGCTTTTGCCTACTCCAATGCGTTAGATTTGCTTTTGGTGAAGAGCCGTACGGCCGCAGCAAAGCACCACCTTTCCTTTCCCGAGCCACGGTACGAAACAAAAAGATCGCCCACGCCTCCACGCGCACCGGTTCCAATTTCCAAGGTTCGTCCGACTTCCGCTGCTCGCCACGAGCCCCGGGAGTTGGCGTCACCAGTCACCACCACCACCAAGCATATCGTGTCCGTGTCACGGTGGAGCCCCGCGCGCGGGCCAGCCGCGTGAGTGATGAATGAATACTAGTACAACAAGCAGGCAAGCGGAGGGGGCGCACGATCCACATGGGGGGCGGGGGCCTCACGCCGGGCACGTGCCGTGTCGGGGTGGTGGTGGTGGTGGTGCCCGAGTCGTCGTCCTCCTCGGCTCGACGGCTCGCCCTCCCCTCCTCCAGTCCAGCTGCCGCCGCATAATTGGGGTGTTTTTCGAGATCCGCAGCGCGCGTGCGGACGGGGAAAAAAATGGGGGAAAAAAATGGGGTTCCACCCCGCGCTGACTGACGTGCGGGCGCCGCGGGAGGGTGTTCATCCATGATCGCGCGGTTTATCCGGTCAATCTCGAGTTCGCGACGTGTACTGTGTACATGAGTTGCTGCTAATAAATATATTGTCCCTTGAACAAACCGATCGATAAGTATATGATCGCGAAAAGGTACAACTTGATTAATCTTATGTGCTCGGATGAAGGTGCGGTTCTTATTAGGGGAAAAAAAGATGATCTGTTTTAAGTGTTTGTTAGGAGACGACGTGGTAGGCATTTTGAGCTGACAAGTACACTCCTTTAAAAGGCTTTTGATCTAGTTTAGTCCTGTACATGCATGGATGAAGCTAGCGTTAATTAGTTATCACAACATTAACCACTCTTCCAGATCAGTACTAGTACTCGTCATCACAGGAACGGGCTTCATCTTGCACGTGTTAATCTAGCTGTCGATCGAGCTTAATTATCTTTCTTCTCTTTTTTGCGAACGGTACATTCAGCAATACAGTTGTTGTCTTAATCTTCAGGGTGCTGCTGGACTGCGGCCATGACAGATGCTTAGTCCGCATGGGTCATGGCTACGGTCTACGTAGCGCGACGTGTTAACCGATTGTATCAGTGGGCACAGCAATCGGCCAAAAGATGAATAATGGAGGAACAAGCTGATTTGTTTTTCCTGAAAAGTTTGGGGGACCCAACAAATAAACGTATCACTGTTGCCGTTAGTAAATTTCTCTTCCAGAAGATCCAACCAGCTAGCTGAGATGTGTAAAAGAAAACGGAGCAACTGATCTCCATACAAGATGCTTTACTTCGACTCTGCAGAGTGCAGATCGATACTATATACTGCTACTAGTATACAACAGTGTCCGAACACTTAATTTCTGTTGTGCCTCCTGACGTCTACGACTCGCATACAATGCACCACAGCGGCAGCATGATTAGCGACGCTCCAACGCCAATTAAAACAGACCGAGCAAGAGAACTCAAAACAGCTCGCCGATGAGATCGCTGTGCGATGAACGCCACCGGACAAACCTGCATCATGCCGCCGCACAGTCCCGGCCGGTGAGCAATCCAATTCGCGCCCACCGGCAGAGATTATATACATATGGGCCCTGAAATCCCCGATTATATTCTCGATTAGCATGAACAAACACGTATTAGCGGCCCAAAGCTCGTACGCAGCGCGACCCTTGTTCGATCGATCGGCCGCCGCGACATCAATACAACTGCATGCGACCATGATCCATCCACGCATAGGAGGTTTGATGGTGAGACGTCGCCATGGATGAGGAATTTCTCGGAGAGTTCAGAGACTTTCAGTTAAGTTCCAGACGCGAGGCTGGGTTTAGCCAGGTCATGTGAGCGCATGTGATCGGCCATCAATCTCCTTGCCACAAGCTGACAGTCGCGCAGTGGCTGGCCGGCTGCTACAATGGATTGGTCCCGCGGCTCTCGTACGCACGCTGCGGCGCAGACACGCACAATTATTTGAGGGGTGTACCCGCGTACATAGAGGCTAAAAAGACTCACAATGAGTGACCCCGGTTTGACGTAGCTAGTAGATCGATCGATCGCAAAATAATTGCTGAAAAGGAGACACGTGAATTTGTACACATAGTGGGAGGAAAAAGCTGAACCAGTTCAGTCCTACCTTAGTGCAAATGATATCCCCTTCCTGTAGAGATCAAAAGTCAGTTCACGGCTTATGGCAGATCCACAATTAATACAGGTAGGAGTAGGAGTTTAGCTACAGGCTAGTAGAAACAATACACTGTAATTAGCTAGGACTAGGGTAGTATAAGTACACTGTGATTACACTGTATAAGTCTAGGTAACGAGGGAGCAAAGTCAGCCCTAATCTTGTGCACCAAAAATCTGACTGTAATCAAAGTAAAATTATGTCGTCATAAATATAGCAATACCGCTGGAAGAAAGCACCGAATTGACAGCATCCTAAATATCTTTGATCATGATTTAGCACGCTAGAGTAACGCCATCGACGAACGGGCGTACCCGTACATGGGCAGCATCGACTGATCGATCTCGCACCCCCATTTATTCAGAAGATCTTAAGAATCTGACGCGAGTGCCTGATTCAGACTGCGACACCGAAATTGAATCGATAGTTGGGAATGCTAGCTAGCCAAGCCACACACGTCCGAGCGCTGCCCTGTTCACCGATGGATGAGCTGGTACGGCTGTGCCGATAGATCGCTTTACCTGCCGTACTGGACTACCGGTAGCGATCGCCGACGCTACAGTCGCCGGACGCTGACCTCGCAGCGAGCGCTCGCCACGGCGTTTGTCCCCCGCGAGACCTGACGGAGCGAGACCTCACGGAGCGGACGAGCATGCCCCGCCAGAGGCGCGTACTAGCTCCAGATGCGCGCCTGATTCGATCGGGACGGCTTGTTTGGCTCCCCGTCTCCGGCGCCGGTCCGGGCTGGCCAGTGGCCACTCGTGGCTCGTTGATTGCTGCCGCGCGTGTGCTCATCAGCTCGCGTAGGATCTAAACGTGTTAACGTTGATGGCGTCCTTGTTGGCCACGGGTCACGGGTGTTCTGAATTTCTGGAGTAGTCGATGTCCACCATGCTTTGTTTACATCGCGACCGCTGTACTGGTAACTTGCAGAGTTTTGCGTCTTTGTTGCGCCAGGTTTGGCTCTGAAATTATCACTGTCAATGTCTTGAAGGTGTCGTCCGGTCCATCGATGATTCGATGGAGTGATCTCATCTTACGACAATAAGAAGTCGATGATTTGGTGGCGGCACAAGTGGACAATTTCTCTGGACTATCAATAGTACGTACGATAGCATTGTACGTAGCGTGCGTAGTTTCATTCAATAGAGTGAGGAAAAATTTCAAGGCTAGCACCCAGGTAAGACAGTAGCAAGGAACGAAAAAAGAAAGCCCCAGCATGCACTGGTAGCGCCTACACACAACTCACAAGAAGGCTAGCACCGGACCGACTGTCACTAGACCAACAACGAAGCTACAGTCGGACCGCTCAAAACCAAAACCTAATAGACGAGCACCACACTCAACTCTATCCCCGCCTTTGGGATTGAAAGGAGAGAGAGTGAGAGAGAAGAATGAAACCGCTCTTCCCCACAAGGCCCACCAACATAGCCAACTTATAAAGCTAAGGCACCGCTACAAGAGGATAAACATCTAGAGAGAGCATGCACAAATTGTTGGAGAGACGTTTTGGTAGGGGTCTCCTAGACGACATCTCCAAGAAGAAGAGCGACGATGAGTACTAACGCCGTCATCCGTCGAGGTCTCAAGAAAACCAGGAGTCCAGGACATGGTTTTCACCCAGCAGCCCCACTAAAGGGAGAGGAACGACTCATTAATGCCCCCAAGAGGAAGAACAACGCCCGAAGCACCATTGTTTCTCCTATCGATCTGAAGCTATCGCTCCATTTCTCCACCACCGGTCATTCTCTGTCAGTGTATGGACATCGTCGTGCCAACGCCTCCTGCCGGCAAACCTCTACATGCCTTTGTGGAATACCCGCTGTCATCAGCCTCCCTATCGTCGCCACACCGGCCGTCTTACCATCGCCGTCGCCCACACTGACCTCCCGACGCCACCCACGCCGGTCTTCCACAACCATCATCGTCTCTGACAAGCCCCCTGCCACCACTGTCTATGTACCGTGCCGCTCGACCAGATCCGTCGTAGGGGCTCCCGTGGGCTCCACCATCGTCATCGTCCATGCACAAATGTGCCCGTCAGCACCATCGCCGTCTTCTCCAATGCCGATGCTCCCTGTCGTCACTGTCGCTGTCGCTGAGGTTCGCCACATGGGGAAGGGGGACTACCTCCCTTGTTGGAGAGGCCAAGTCTTGACGGAGGGGCGCTGAAATTGGCCAGAGGGGCATCAGATCTAGCGGCTCCGTTCATGGTGCGCTCCCTCTACCCTATCACCTTTCCTCCTCGTGCCGCCTCCACGCTCTCAGCCTCGCTGCTTGCATCTCGTCCTCCACCCTTGCAGTCTCGCCCTCCTCGGAGGCACCATGCCTCCTCCGCGCGAGCACACCGCAGGACTCCTCTGTCATCGACGACATCCTCCTCCTACTCCCCATCGCCACAACCTCCTCCTCCTGCCCGGTGATGCGTGGTCAGTGCCGCCCCCTCCCAATCTGGCCACGAGGGGGCAAATTCCGTCTCTGGTCGGATATGCCGCAACCGGCCCCGACAGCGTCGGACCTAGCCGCTGTTGCTTTGCCGCCCCTCCACTCGAACCTTGTCAGCGCCCCAGCCACCAAGTCTTGCGTGAAGGGAGAACGTCCTGCCACCGCCATCCTTGCCGCCGCCCAGCTTTGCCTACGGTTGCTCGGGCAGCGGAGAGAAGGAAGGTGGGGCAGTGGCGGGACTGCGACGTCACCTCCCGTGTCAT